CTGTCCTTAGCTTACAAACACATAAAATAAACATCTTAAAAGAGCCACGATCATGTTTAAAATTAATTTAAAAATAAGTAATTAAAAGATAAATCCCTAGCAAGCAAAGATCGGCAGTCAGCCTATCAAGAACTGTATTTGTCTCGTGGCAAAAATGACCATTGGTAACACAAATCCCATGCCTGCCTCACAAAGACCCACGGATATAAGTGGGTATTCTAAGGTTTGTTATGTTCTGTCCTAATTAAAAACAGGGGTGGGAAAACCAAGGTAAGACATGCCGAGCTGACAGCTAACAAAAGTAATTCTTCAGAAAGAAATCATAGGTAAAATTAAAAATATTGTGAAACAGCATGTTAAAAATCCCAATTTGGAAGTTTCCCATTTTCAGGTTTACAATGTCACAAGGGAAACGTCCTCATGGGCGTGTCCCTGGGCCAGAGCCCTAATTCAAAACCAAAATCACTTCTGTGTCACCACACCTGTGGCATGCACTCATTGGAGATGATGCCATTCCACAGTAATATTTCAGCAAAATACAGAAGAGAGAGAAGCACAACCTTCTCTTCACAGGCAATTTTTTCTTAATACATATTGATGATTTTATTATTTGCTATTCTGTTAATATACAATGAATACAGGAAAATGGAGAAAAGCTTTGTTTAAACAAACTGCGCTTATAAATACTTAGTTTTTCTAATACTTAAGCCATTTTTTTAAGACAGCCAAAGATTCAGGATGAAAATAATCTAAAAGCTAGAGGTTCCAGAGGCATGGCATTGCAGTCGGAGCAGCTGCTGCTTGCCACCCTATATCTTTGTGCAGAGTGCTGATTTTAATCCTGGCTGCTACACTTCCAATCCAATGTTCTATTGATGTGCCTGGGAAAAGCAGCGGAAGATGGTTCAGGTGCTTGGGGTAACTGCCACCCACTTGGGACACTTGGATAGAGTTCTTGATACTTGGCCTCAGCCTGGCCCGGCCTTCTGGGAAATGCATTAGTGGATGGCAGATCTCAGTCTCTTCTCTGTCACTCTGCCTTTCAATTTAACAAATAAATCTTAAAAAGAAAGAACAAAGATTTAGGGGTAGGCATGGTGGTGTAGCACGTGAAGACTCTAACTGTAGCACCACAATTCCATAAAAGCACTGATTTGAGTCCCTGCTGCTCCATTTCTCATCCAGCTGTCTGCTAACACATCTAGGAAGGCACTGAGAGATGGCCCAAGTCCTTAGGCCTCAGAACCCAAGGAGAAGACCAGGAAGAAGCTTCTGGCTCCTGGCTTCAGATCTGCCCAGCTTCAGCCATTGTGGCCATTTGGGGAGTGAATCAAGATTTCTCTGTGTGTGTGTATGACTTTCCATAAATCTTTCAAATAAAATCTTAAAAATTAAAGATTTCAGTTATCATGCAATCTTTACTCCAGACAGCAAAATAACGAACTTTCCCAGGAGTCATCATACGCTTTATCATGACTGCTCCCTTTTGTGCCTAGTTTTAAAGTTTTTAAAGATTAAAGGAAAGTTTTCTGTGCACATAGGTGCAACTCTGAAATATAGGCAGATGAGGTTGACAGAGATATGGCATTAAAACAACCCAAGTGTTGCGTAAGTCATGGCCCAACGTTAAGATGCCCACATCACGCATTCGAATGCCTGGGTTCTATTCCCAGCTCTTGCTCCTGAGTCCAGCTACCTGTCAGTGTGGATCACCAGGGCGGGGGTGAGGACTCCAGTAAAATGGCTTCATGTGGGAGACCTAGATCGTATTCCTTGTCCCTGGCTCAGGCCACTGAGGGCACTTGGTGGATATGAACTCCATCTCTACTTCTCAAGTAAAAAGAGATTTTCCATCTGCTGGTCCACTCTCGAATGTCCCCAATAGCCAGGCTGGGCAGGTGGAAGTTAGGAACCCTGACTACCACCTGGGTCTCACATGTGAATGGCAGAGACCCAAGTGTTTGAGCAGAGCAGCCAGGACTTGAAACAGGTGCTGCAATATGGGATATATGCCCACCAAGTGGCAACAAAATGCTGTCCCAAACACCTCCCCTAATGAAAAGATAATTGAAGAAAAACTGCAAATCTATGTAAAAACTATATCTCAATTATTCAGAACAGAATTCTGGAAATATGACGCAGATTAAAACACAATCCTAACTTCAAATTCTGTAGACTGAACATCTCTCAAATGTCATAGCTCTACTAACAAGAAATCAGACACAGCATGCTTGCTACAGAAGTTAACTTGGGGAACTGGCAGTGTGGCATAACAATCTAACCTTTTGCCTGTGGTGCCAGCATCTCATATGGGTGTCAGTGTCCTGGATATTCCACTTTCAATTCAGCTCTCCCTGCTTAAGGCCTGGGAAAGCAGAAGAAACTCTTGGTCCAGAAAAACAGGCCTGGAAAAGCAGAAGAAATTCGTTTGCAGCTGCTGGAGCCATTTTAGGAGTGAACCAGCAGGTGGAGGATCTCTCTCTGTCTCTCCTGTCTCTGTCACCCCTTTTCTCTGTAAATCTGCCTCTCAAATAAAAACAAATAAATCTTCACAAAAGGTAAATCTACAGGTGTCACACAGGTAGTATTTATCCCTTAACTTCTGTGAATTCTTCCTGAAATATTGAGCAATAAAGAACATTTCAAGAAGAGATTAGAGAGAAAGGAATCAATCAGAATTGTTCAAAATGAAACATTTCATTTATTTGCTAATATGGTAGTGGAAATACTATTTTCTAATGATTCCTCCTTTATCCTTCATTAGAGACATGTCTGTCTCCTCGGGCAGCACAGCGAGGATTAGCAGTACGGCCCTCCCACAGAGCCTCAGGAGCAAACTTGGCTTCCAGGATCATACCTTGCAAGGCCAAATTGGCTCTGCATGATTGATTCTAAAGTGGGCATTAGCATTCTTCCTGCAACAAGGCTGCATCCCTCTGAGAATATTCACACTTAACCTTGTGAGCTCAACTTTTACAGAAACTCGGCAGCCAAGGGGAAAATCAGTGTAATGGAAGGAATTAATTAAGTCAAACTGGAAGAGTCACCATTGCAAAGAAAAAAAAAGAGAGAGAGAGAAAAAATCAAAGCTTATCTAAAGGGATAAGGATCAGTGTGTTATATGTTCCTAATGCCTTTTCTAAGCTCTGCCTCTCCCTAGCCTCCCAGCAACATGAGCATTCATCTGAGCACGTGTAAGGCTGCCTCATTTCAGTTTCGTTGACCCTGAGATTGTGATGTTTACCTAAGCAGGAAGTCTGACAAATCAGACTCCCTCCAGTCAAGGTCACAGTTTGAAGCATTACACAGTGGCAGGCTTGTATGGACAGGAATATAAAAGACAGAAAACAAGATCTCAAAAAGTGCTTACTTGCGTCCTCAGGTTCAGTAAGAGAGCGGAAGGACGCAAGCACATGCTGGTACAGAACCTCTCCCCACCTTTGCCAAGGGCCTGCTGTCAAGGGAGATCCTCCTGAGCTAGTTCTGGGAAGTCCGGATGGGAAGGAGCCCAGCACTTCATCGCTTAAGAACTGATGTCCTTTATGACAGAGGCGAAGCACGGAGAGATGCAATTGTTCACTCCACCCGGATTACACTATTCAAATACAACCACCATGCAGATCAATGCATCCTGAGAGAAAAGGTTAACAGGTGGGCAGACCTGGCAAACTGATGCTGTGGAAATTCATGCTCTCCCTGGGACAGTTTAATTTTTGCTACCTTCCAAAGAAGTTGTTCTTCAGTTAAAATACACTAGCCTAGCAAAAGTCTCACTGGAGATCTACTCAGCAAGCTGGGGATTATTGCTTCCAGAATTCCTGAATGGCAACACTTGACCTGGGATGTGAGCACAGAGCCCAGGAGCAACCAAAACCTCCCGAGGTCAGCCTCTTTTCCTGCCACGCTTACGGAATAATTTACAATGTAAGTTTCATCCTCACTGTTCTACATTTTGCTCTGCGAGTTGCTCAGTCTCGGTGAATGGTCAAACAGCAAACACAGAGAGAAGAAGCGTCTAAGTCACCAATTTCGATCATATGTCCACATTCTTAACGTATCTCTACCATGTCAAGTTCAACAGAACCAAAGTGTAATAAAAGTAACGCAGTTTTAGTATATAGCAACTATGGGAACCCCAAAGAGGATGCCTGTTTATCAAATAGACTACCATGTACAATCTTTCAAATTATTATGATATACAGAAGGTCTTAGGTTTAAGTAGAAAGAAAACTAAATTTCATATTAGATTTCCAGTAGCAATACTAAACCAATTTTAAGAACATAAATAAGGGGCCTGGCATGATGGCTCAGTGGCCAAGTCTTTGCCTTGCATGCACTGGGATCCCACATGGGCACGGGTTCATGTCCTGCCTGCTTTACTTCCCATCCAGCTCCCTGCTTGTGGCCTGGGAAAGCAGTAGAGAATGGTCCAAAGCCTTGGGACCCTGAACACATGTGGGAGACCTGGAGGAGGTTCCTGGCTCCTGGCTTTGGACTGGCTCAGCTTTGGCTGTTGTGGCCACATGGGGAGTATATGAACAGACAGAAGGTCTTCCCCTCTCTCTTCTCTTCTCCGTATATCTGACTTTACAATAAAAATAAAATAAATCTTTTTTAAAAATCAAAATCTTTGAGAAATTTTTAAGAAAACTAAATTGTTCTCATCAAACCTGACAAGAGAATGGATTCTGATTACCTAAAAAACTTAGTCCTGGGACACAGGAACAGTGTTAGTGAGGCGCCTCCCAGAGCAGTCACATCACACATGGCAGAGTCAAGGTGAACGGTGGCAACACTTTATATTTAATCCTACTAGAGTAAAAAGTCATAGGTATTTTCCAAGGAGAATTCCCTCTTGCTTTTTCTTGGACTTATTAACCATGAAAGTTTCATTCAGGAAAACTTAAGTCATTTAAAGAAAAAAGGCATCCAGCTCTGGAGTAATTTGGCATTAATTTATAGGTGCAAAAATTAGAAACCACTTGATACATCCACAATACACATATATAAACATTTTATTTTAATAATACTCTTTATGACTTCAATTTAAATCATTCCATTATGAAAATGTTTTAATTGAAGAGAGAATATTTCTTCAAAACTCTAAATTAAACAGAGCTTTATCAATTAAATTTACAACAATACAATCTTTAGAAATACATAATTCTTCATATGACGTTAAAAATTTGTCATGGTTTGTCACAGATTTAAAATACAAGGCACCTAATGCTATGAAAAGATAATACAGTATATGTAGTGTAAGTGAACCAGATCTGTTCAAATATTTATTCTCTTTCAAGTTCAATCAAATTTGCATGAACATACTTGATGCATAAACTAGACAAGTTTTTTTTGTGTAGTTAATTGGCAATATTTCACAAAACTAAAAGATAATCCGTACCTATAACAGCCAGCTTATTTTCAGCATTTTTCCTGCCAGAAACATCGATCTACACAAATGCTTTCTTGAAAATATTTTTGTAGTACAGTCCACCATCTAACAAAGGTAAAATAAGGTCTCCCGAACATTAGGATTTTCTTCCGTGATGAGTTGGACTGATTTCACCAGCTGACTAACTCCCTGGTTGTGTAAGGCAGGTTGGTCCTGTGGATGGACTGTGGACTCCAACACCCTATCACTCCGTGACATGTGACCCAGCTACACAGCAAAGTACTTCATTACGAAAATGAAGAAAACAGATAAGAGGAAAATATACTTTAGAGTTTCAAAGAACTGAAACTGTTATTTTTCAGACTAGGCACTGAAGCATTTTTCTACAAAAACTTGCCAGAGATTGTCTCTTCACTGCATAATGTTCCCCGATCAAGCTAGAAACAAAAATAAAGATGTAATTAGATTACAATTTCCATAGCTTTGGATTTTGAATTCTACACCAATGTCAAAGGCTGACGTGCAATACTGTGAGTGCTTCAACACAGTGTCATAACGGTTTGCTTTATTCTGGTAGGTTCCAACTATTACATATATGGTGACAAAGACACCTGTCCAACCTGTTCTGCTCAGCACTGCTCCACTACTCTCCACTGTCTTTAGTCTTCACTCTGTCTCCTTTGTCCAGTTCTCACTTCCAGACACCTTGAATACTTGCCTAGCTAGGGGTGGGTTTGAGTGTGAGTATGGGAATAATACACAGCATGCTATGGGAAGATGTCATACAGTTACAGTATTAAACAACTTTAAAAATAATAGTGTTTATGGTGACTTGAAAGGCAATGAAAAGAAAGACCTTGTAACTGCTGGTTCATTCCCCAAATGCCTGCAATAATGAGGAGCAGGACAGGCCAAAGCCTGGAGCTCCATTCTGGTCTCCCACATGGGGGAGAAGCAGCCAAGTATTTGGGAAATTGCCTGCTTCCCCCAGGAAGCTAGATAGGAAATGAGGGGTGGGACTTGACTTCACACATTCGGATATGGGATGCAGTCGTCCCAAAGTGGTAGGCTAAGACCCACTGCACCACAACATACTTCCCAATTTTTTTTAATTTAAAAATGACAAATAAGCACACTTGGCTTTACTCTTTCCTCAAAATCTCACTAAAAAAACAATAAATGAATTTTTTTTCTTAATTAAAATAAAACAGGGGAAGGCATTTGAGGCATTGAGGAAAATACTGCCTGGGATGCCAACATGTAATCTGGAAGTACCTCGGTTACTCTACCGGGTTAGTGTCCGATTTCAGCTTCCTACCAACACACATCCTGGGAGGCACCTGTGATGACTCGAGCAGCAGGCCCAGTCTTGGCCATTGTGGCCATCTGGGAAGTGGGAGTGGAAGAAAGATCTCTTTTTCTGTCTCTCCAAATCTCTGTCATTCTGCCTTGTTCTTGTCTGGCAGGGTTAGGCTGCTGCTGTTAATGCTGCATCTCGGCCTCTGCACTGATGGAGGAGACCATAAAGGTCTGGTTCCCGGCTGTGGGCTGGCCCAGATCTGGCTATTGCAGTTATCTGGGGAATAAACCAGCAATGGAAGATTTTCTTTCTCCCTTCCTACACCCCTCTGTTAAAACTCTTGACTTCCACAAGAATAAATCTTAAAGCAACAGCAAAACAACAAAGAGATTAAGGATCTCAAATATGGGGCAGGTGTTGTGGCACTTGCAATGCTGGTATCCCATATGAGTCCCAGTTAAAGTCCTGGCTGTTGCCCCTCTGAACCATCTCCCTGCTCATATGTCTAGGAAAGCAGTGGAATACAGTCCAAGTACTCGATCTCCTGTCACCCATGTTGGAAACTTTGGTGGAGGTCCAGATTCCAGGCTTCAGTCTGGCCCAGCCCGGCTATTAAAACCACTAGGGGACTGATCCAGCAGATAAAAGACCTTTCTCTGTCTCCCATTTTCTCTGTACTCTGCCTTCAAATAAATAATAATAATAATAATAACAACAATAAATCTGGAAGGAAGGAAAAGAGGGAATAGGAGGGGGAGAGAGAAGATAAGAAGAAAGAAGAGGTGAGAAGAGGAGAGGAGAAAAGGGGAATGGACAGGATCTTGTACCGCATCCCAGTTAGAGACACTGGCCTGGGAGCCAAGGCAGTTTGAGTCCAGACACTACACCCTCAGCCTTTAGGTGAAATTGTTTCTTAAATAACCAATTACGGAAAACCAATTCTGTATCACAAGAATAAGAATCTCATGCCACACTAATGCTAGTTTCATACAAACCTGGGCTCTAGGCAACAGCTAGCTAGCTCCATCGTCCTGTGACACACCATGCATAGGAATGAGGCTCTCACACTGTTCACTGTCTTCTGAAACTCTTCAAGGGATGGGGGAAGAAAAAGCAATAATAGTTCAGGGCAATTTTAACGTTGTAAGGGAAGCTTAAAAGTGATTCTACTGGCCGAACATGTGAGGTCTGGATGCTAGCTACTGACAGAGCTGACACAAGGCCAAGATTTCTTAATCTTTTTCAAGTACTTTACAGAAAAATATCAAAAACTTCCTCTTTTAAAAACAAAGGAATAAAGAAAATTTGAGGCAACTGTATTATTCCATTTTGAATTATTTCCAAATCAATAAAAATGTTCTGTATTTAAATAACATTATAGCCAAATTAAAAATATCCTACTCTTACCTGTAAATCAAAATACTTTCTCTGAAATGCAGCAATGAAAAAATTATTACCCAAAGGATCTTAGCGAATTATTTTATCTAGCATAATGCAGAGACCACATACAATGTTTCAGTAATTCTTCACAGTGAACTGACTTCAGTTTACTTAGCAAACAGTTTTTTAAAATCTACAGTGGAGATCAACCTACCTCTGAATTCGATGTTTTCTGCAAATAAAGGCAAAAATTCTTCTGATTCCTACCATCACAGGATCCCAATTATTATAATGACATAGGAGAGTTGCAATAAAAAATGAAAAAAAAACTGGGATAGCGCCTGCAAAAAACAGCCAAGAAAACTGCACCTAAAAATAAAATTTAAAAAAAATCACTTTTGCAATTACCACTGAAAAAAGCTTCCTGTTCAATTTAACTTTTGTGTTTATGAAAACTAACAGAAATGTTAAATATCGAGGATAATACTCAGCAATGACAATATATTATTAATTATACCATTATTATTATTAAATATAAAAACCCAGAACTTCAGTTTGCCTAAATAACGACCAATGCTTTTTGCTTGGAAAATCAGCTAATGAAAAGCCAAGAAGACAGCTTTCACGTCCCTGGGAGGGCGGCCTGAGAACCGGATCACCTGTTCTCAGGTCATCGTCTCCTCCTGCCTGTCACTGCCTACTCCCTCCCCTTGAGCTTCTGACCTCACCTTCAAAACACTCACCTTCTGAAATACATTGTAGCGGTGTTGATATCACATTACCTTAGAGTACTCTGTTAAGGCAGAATGAAAAGCAAGCAAAATTTTGCAAAACTTTATCTCCGCCAAGACCCTTGAAATTCAGGGCAGTTCAGAATGAGGTAATAACCCAGTAACTCCACAGGGGAGACCGGGTTACCTCCAGGCAGACTCAGTCACTGCAGGTATTTGGGGAAGTTCTGTTTCTGACTCTTGAGCTTTTAATAAATAAAATTTTATAAAGGTAGATAAAACACGAGATGACTTCTAAAAGCAAGGCTCATGCTCACCACCTCAGTCATTTATGTGCTGTCTCTAAAACTTCCATTTTGATCATCAATAATCCCTTGAAAATAATTAAACCAAGTCAGGAAATGGAGAATTTCAAAGTAAATAAAAATTATTTCTAATTCCTGAATATACCTGAATATAAATTTGAATCTATGAGATATACTTCCGTTAGGGGTCAAATACTTCTAGACTAAAATAGCCAGTTAGCTCCCACAGCAATAATTTTAATAGGTGTTTAAAAATTCAGAAACTATATGTAAATGTGATAGGATAATAAAACCAAAAAGGACCTAAGAAAGTAGAGGATTTTTCTTACTACATTTCAAATACAGCTCCAGGTACACCCTGCTACTTTTCCCACAAGTCCCCCTGCCGTCAATCCCCACTAAGGGCCCAGTCTGCTCATTTAATTGGTTGTGCAATTCTAGAGGTTAAAACAATCCAGAAAGACTAATTGGTTATTTTTTTAAAACAATTACACTTATATATATTTTCTCCTTTTTAATCTTTTTGTTTCAACTTAAAACGTTTGATTAAACAAACTAGAAAATCATTTAATGAAACTAGGTCACTTATATTTTTCTTTAAAAATTCCCTAAAGTTAGCTTTTTAAAAAATAACACTGCTTTTAAATCAATGCAGTAAAACTGGTTTCCACAGCAGTCTATTCAGAATCTCATAATACACAGAGCTCTCTCTGTAATACAATCATTTGGTTGATGAGCAGAATTACTATCCTGAGTCAGGGAAGGACGTGGAAAATTTTGAAATCTATCAAAGAGTCTACTGATGGAGGCAGACACTGTGTCACTGCAGGTTACACCATCAGCCAGGGCTGGGACAGGTCAAACGAGCCAGGAAGCCCCAGCCAGGTCTCCTCTGATGGTCTGGGGTCTCACACACAGGACCCATCTTCCTATCCTTCCCAGGAACATTAGCATTATGCTGGAGGGAAACAAGCTTCTAAGGCTCAAACCCACACTCTGGTAGGGGAAATCAGTCAGAAACTCAATCCCACAAACCTGGCCCCTGCTCTGCAGAGTAACAGAGATACAGAGAGCAAGAGAGAGAGAAATCATGAGTTTACATTCCACTGGTTCATTGCATAAATGGTTGTAATAACTAGGGTTAAGGGCCCAGCACAGTAGCCTAGTAGCTAAAGTCTTGACCCTTGCATATGCTGGGATCTTACACAGGCGCCAGTTCGGTCCTGGCTGCTCCACTTCCCTTCTAGCTCCCTGCTTGTGGCCTAGGAAAGCAGTTGAGCAAGGTCCAAAGCCTTGAAAACTTGTACACACATGGGAGATGCAGAAGAAGCCTCTGGCTCCTGGCTTTGCATCCTCTCAGTTGTGGCCACTTGGGGAGTAAGTCAGCAGACAGAAGATCTTTCTCTCTGTCTTGCCTTATATCTGTAAATCTGCCTTTCCAATAAAAATAAATAAAACTTAAAAAAAAAAAAACCAACAACAACAACTAGAGTTGAGCCAGGAGCTCTATCCAGGTTTCCCACATGGGAACAGGGACACAAGCACACGTGTTGTCTTCCACTGCTTTCTCAGGGACAGTAAGAAGCAGCTGGATCAGAAGTGGAGCAGCAGGGACTCAAACCGGCATCCACGTGGGATGCAGACAAAGTGCAGCAATGGATCACAATTCTGGCTCCTACTCTGCACTCTGGATTTAGCACACGGCTCAAGTGTTCCTGCCACTCATGTGGCAAACCCAAATGCAGTTCCTGGCTCCAGGTTTTGGACTGGCCCAGCCCTGCTGTCTGGGCATTTGGAGAATGAACCAACCAGTGGATGAGAGATCCTTCTGTGTCCATTCCTCTCTCTCTGTTAACTCTTTCAAATAAACAAATAAATAAAATCTTTTTTTAGAAAAAGAATTTAAGGATATGTCATTTCAGTGCTATGTATACTTTATTATACAATCTCATACTCCTTGAAACAAGGTTAGATATGAACACAAAACTTTTTAAAAATTAAACATACTATTATTGAAAACACTTTGTCTTTATTCTTAAAAACTACACAAAGGCCAAAAAATAGCTGTAAAACCCAACTACTACTTGCATGCATTATAAGCCTTTGGACTTTCATTCCTTCAGCTAATACTAAACACACAAGCACACCCATCATTGTTCCTTAGCACAGGGATTGAAAACACTGAACTCGAAGCTGACGGGCTGCACTGCACCTTCCAGCAGTGGGCAAAGGCACACCTCTTTCCTCCCGTCACCCCATCAACCTGCCCCTTCCTTCCTAACGGCTGGCGGAGTCCTGGGTCTGTCTCTTTGATGTTACCATCGCCAGTGCTTATCACAGCAGTCCCCATGTGCAGACTAGGGCTTCCCAGACGAGGGAAGAACATCTACTGAAGCCAGACAGAGATGAGCAGTCACGGACAAAGAAAACTGTTCATGTGCTGTTCCTATCTACATTAGCATGAACGTGATGGCAAGGAACCTCTGGAGCTTATCCTTGAAATCAAAAGACTACCACTTATGTGATAAAATGTCTGCCCTGTTCTGGCCCCACTTACACCAGAACATTCAGACGAGAATAAGCTCATAAACTGGCAAACTACATCTAAAGATATTGCTCTTAAAATCCAGGGGGAAAAAAGGAAGCAAAAAGGCTAGGAAACAATCCATTTCTTTGATACTTTTTATACTTCTACATATACAGAACACTTTGGGAGAGATTGCACAGAGTATTATACGTTTGTATCCCTTACAATTGAGACGTATTCTTTGATTTCTTTTAATATACTTAAAATATTTAATAAGTAGATTGGCTTACCTTTTGCATACATATGTCAGCTATAATGGACAGAGGTATTGTAAGGCTTAGTGCAAGTGTGCCTATCAATGATGAGGTAAGAAAGCAGCCCCTAAAAAAAATTATATATTTCTACATTAAAAAATAAAAGAACCAAAGAACATTGAACAAAAACTCTACACAAAGCTAAAGATAAAATTTAAGATTCTCAAAGTTTACACTTAAATATTAAATATGCAAGTTAAACGGTTCAAAGTATTTTATGCTGTTCTCAAGACTTGCTTACTGTAATTTCAACTTTTGTTGAAATTTTGAACTCTCCTAAATAAAAGCCAATTTTTTCTGCCTAATCAGTACTGATATCAATTGTGAAATATCCATCTGCATCTAATATTGTTTAGCTGAAGGGAAATATTGTATGATATATAGATAGAAAAATAATTTATAAAGTAACAATTTGGATCTATAAGAAAATGCATTCTGAGATAAAATCATAATGCCTATCATTAGAACCAAAAACCCATGAAGATTATAGGCAAATAAACTCTAGTTCACCATACTAAAGTTAGCGATACTGCCTGACTAAAGGCCATTTCTTGACAAAATACCATTCAAGTACCTAAACACAGGCTTGACTTAGGAGAGCTGAAATAGTGGTTTCCACCACTCATTGGCTGGTTCAGGGACCAAGTAAAGTTCTCCTTTCCCCTCCAAATATAGCGTATATTCCTGGATATTTGCCTTGCAGATATTTAAGACTATTAAGAACCTCGCTCGCTATAACCCAGCTTTTTCCTATTCAGCTTATGTCTGAGCCTTTTTGATACCTATAAATATTTCAAGCTGAAAAAAAGTAAGCATTTAAAATGCATGTAATAAAAGAGAAAAAGTGAATGAATAATGAATTGAGATATCAAAGGAAATTCAGATCACCAAAGGAAAATGTAAATTAGCACAACGTAAAGTAAATCTTTAAGTATTACATAAAATGAAATGATTATGCAGGATAAGCAGCTACTTTGGTAACTGGCATGGTGTGAGGAGTATTAAGATTTCATTGAAAATGAGATTTCTGCTGCAGTCGTTTGCAAGGAAAAGCTAGTCAATTGTCTCAATTAGAGTTAAAGCACAATTTGAATTTCTTTTTAAGTTCCTATTACATATGAAATAGGATTTGGTATAAAGCTGCACAGCTGAAAAGTTTCTTAAACTCCACACATGATATTGTGTTCCAATTGAGACTACTACATATTGATATGTATTTCATATTATGAGTATTTTAACACTTCAAACTAATCATACATTGCTTACTCATTATCAAAAGTCTTGAAAATAGTACTACGTAAAACAAACAAAAAAACCTACTTACCACTAGATATTCCAAAGAATCTTTTAAGTAAGCAAGATTTCACAGACTTTCACTTAGAATTAATTCATAGTTGACATACACATCTCATAAGTTCAGATGTCTGTTAGATAAGGATTATATTCACTTGCATCATACTTGCATTTCTATAAGCTTTTACTAAATGTTGAACATTTCGATTATTTACTGAGTTCCTTGTGCGTACAAAGCACTACCTAGTGTGTATGTACGCAGTGGGCACGCAGAAGCGTGTGTATGGGTATGTGTGTGTTGGAGGGTACAAAGGAAAGTCTACCAAAGACAGAAAAAATAATACCTAAACTATTTAAAAGTCAACAAATGAGAACGAACAGTACATACCACAACCACAGGAACTCTGAGAGAACCGTACCGATAAGGCCATTAACAATAATGCACATCCATACTACTTTATTTGGAAACTCGAAATCTTCAAATCCAGTATAATGAAGTAAAAAGAAACCAGGCCATAAGAGCAGCAGATTAAATAAACCTACAAAACCTAAACAGAAATGGAGGAAACACAAATTAAAACTGATTTATTTCAACTTTCCAAGCCTGTATATCTATAATTCAAAAACACTAAATTTTAAACAGAGAGTTCCAACAAGTTTCCTCAACTGGAACTTCTATTGGTTTGTTCAGAAGTTAGTCCTGTCACCAGCTAGCTCAACATGAGACAAAACTGCATGAAGAAAATGGTGATCATCTAGTCTGAGGTCCTACTACCCCCTACGTGAGAGCAACTACTGTGGAACAAACCCCTTAAACTAATTTTTTTTAAAACTAATTTTTAAAAATTTATTTCCTAGCATCACACTGATACCTTTGTTACATGTTCATCAACGTCTTGGGGATGAAGATGCACCATTTTTTTTCCCTGTGGTGAACTGCAGCTAAGGGGATGCATAATGGAAGTGTAGCGGAAATCCCGTTCACAGGTGGAAACAGAAGTATGTCCTCATGCATGCAGTACAAGGATGGACTCACAGCGAAATGGCTGATAATCTACACTGCAGGGAGACACCTCAGTGGCAGCATGATGGACTTAAGAAAATTCATGAAAGATACCCATTGTAAGTCTGGAGGGGACAACAGAGGGGAAGGGAGGGAACTTGTGGAGGGAGGAGGCAGACTCCAATGCCTATCAACATGTGTCATAAAACAATTTTAAAAATCTTATGAACTTTATCTACTAAAAATATAATGTCCTAGAACTTTGCAATAGAAAGAGATTCCAAAGAAGACCTGATTCTTAGTTCCTGCCTTCCCAACATTCCAAAGCTAGTTGGTGATTATACACATGAGGACAACTCACCAAGCTGATAGCAATTAAAAGACAATTTTATTCTGGTGAACAACATTTTGTAATCTATGCACAATTTTTCATAATATATATTTTCCACGAATTTTTTGAAGACTCTGTGTATGTTATTCAATACGTGACCTAAGTGTAAAAGGACTGCCAACACAGAAAGACTAAACTCGCAATGCCAAAGTCTGTTTTACAGTCTAATCATCTTGAGTTCCAGCCCCAACGATACCATTCAGTAGAAGTGTAAACCTTCTGCAACATGAAGACCCTCTTCTAAACTTTACTAGTCTATAATATTAGACTGCTGGGAATCTGGAAGAAACACATAAAATATAACATGGTAGCTGACCCAGAGTAAACCCTTAATAAAGATTAGCTGTCTTTATCATAGAAATGAAACTTACATATGAACAACTACACACATGTGATACAGACTACAAAAACAAGCATACATTTTAATAGTGATTTTGATTGTAGTTTTCATAGAGTTTTATGTCACAGGTCTACTCTTAAGATCCATAAATTTATAGAGCTTACTTCAGAGAAAATTAAATGATAGCAGACATATATTTAACATTCACGACATCAACTAAGAAATGGGTTAGTATTTAGGAGCCTATTTAAACCTTCTGAGCAAGGCTGAATACCACTCTAAAGATTCACTGTCACCCTAACTCTGAAAAACTGTCTTTGAAGAACAGAACAAAGTTGCCTTTTCCAGATGTTCCAATCGCCAATGACTTGTGACTGGTGATGCACCTGCTGGCCCTCCTGGCCCTGAGGGGTGACTAGTCATGTGACCCATTCCTCCTGAGACCTCACGTCACATCTGCCACAATTAGGTCAAGCTGTACTTGGGACATAGGGCTCTTTCTTTTTCTCTGTCCTGCTTCCTTCACTCCCAGCCAGTTTCTCCTTCACGGCACCTCTTACACTCCCAATAAAACACCTACACCAAATTCTAATATCTTGCTTTACAGACTCCAACCTAAAAATACTTAGTCATCAAAAAGAAAAAAATATTTAATAAAGACCCATATACAAAATGGATTCATGATCTAACATGCTTACATAACATTAGAACAGTGTTCTAATTACAACACAATCTGGCTTTATCAAGGATTAAATCTGAGATGGGTATTATGGCACTGCAGATTAAACTAACACCTCTGACACTGCCATCTCACACTGAATTGTTGTGGTTCCAGTTAAAGCTGCTCTGCTTCCAATCCAGCCCACTTAGTAATGTGCCTAGGAAGGCAGTGGAGGAAAGTATTGGGAACCCTGACACCCATGTGGGAGTCTTAGATGGCATTCCAGGTTCTGGCTTTAGATTCACTTTCTCTTTCTTTCTGCCTTTCAAATAATTACTAAAAATAAATAAAACCTTAAAAACAAGAAAAAGAATTAAAAATTTATATTCCCTTGTCTGAAGAACCTCCACATTCCAAACCTAACTTCTCCAAATCCTGCTATTATAAAGCCCAGAACAAACTGATAACTGGCTTACCTTACATCACTAATGAAAAAAACTAATCTATGTTTATGTATGTCCTCCCTAGTTAAAGCAAATTAACCTTTAACCAACCATTTACCTATAATGCTCGTTTTACTCCATTCTAGGTGAATTTTCTATGACTTCAAAATAAGATGTCATAAAAATTATCATTTAAAAATATTTACTTATTTGATAGAGTGATAAAAGTAGGGACATAGACATACACCCAGACACACACACATACACACACGAAAACACACAATGGGAGTGGGGTGGAGGAGAGAGAATCAGGGATATCTTCCATTTGCTGGTTCAGTTCCAAGATGACTGCAACAGTTAGGTCTGGGCCACGCTGAAATCAGGGGCCAGGAAGTCTATTCGTGTCTCCACAGGAATGGCAGCGCCCCAGTGGGTGGGTTGTCAGTCACTGCCTTCCCTGGTTTATTGGCAGGAAGCAAAGACTTGAACCAGCACACCAATGTGGAATGTTCCCCTCCCAAGTGGCAGCTTGGAGCCAGGGCTGTCCTGCACTGGATGAAGCTCCTGCTAATGTGGCAAGGACAACAGCAGAGGACAGCCCAAAGGAAATTTGGAAGAAGCTCCTGGCTCTTGGCCTTGGTCTGGTCCAACCCTGGCTGTTGAGGCCATTTGTGGATAGAAGATCAATTCCCCCACTCCATTAACCCCCTCTCTCTCACCAAAACATTTCCCTAGTCTTTATTTTTAATGTATATTCTAGAATAACATAATAAAAAAGAACTTCAGCAGTCACTCCAATCTGTGACTTCTCAACTGTTTTATTGTAAATCTTTAGATGCTGATATTTAAATTATTTTTAGTGAAGATATCTGTTCTACAAATCAAATCATAATAGAAAAAGCCTAATAGTTAGGCCATTCCAGAAAAGCAGGAAAAAAAAAGAAAGTCCAAAAATCAAACCCCTATGTGAAACTCAACTTTCTCCTAGCAAAATCCTTCCTATTCACTAAACCCAAGTTTGGAAGCTCTCATCCAGGCCAGAATCTTGCATTTTTTCAGGGAAGTGTAAGTCAAAGGAACTTGTAATGGACTCCTGGCCTCCTAACTGCCATCAGCTGCTTTCTGATATCTTATCGCCAGGCTTCCTTCCCCATGTACACTCAGGTAACTCTGGGTGCTATCTTGTCACTGTGTCTTCTTCAGTAATCCTACAGATAATGTATATTCTTTTTTGACCTGATTTTAGACAAAGGAAAATATGGAAGTCATATTAAGTTATTTTGTTTACCAAATTGAACTTGGATTACAGATCATATCTGAGTAATTTGAGAATCAATGTTGAAAAAAATCTGAGCTTTAAGGAAAAAAGGCAAATGGAAAGCCTTTAAATATACTGCCATTTTTAATGAAAATTCAGACATACACATTGGAAGAGTATTCTACATATTATTTGCTATATATTATATGTTTCCAACAAGCAATAAATTTTTACATGGTCATGATTTGGTCTATCAATAAGGAAAATATCTGAGTCCCAGGCTGAAGATACAAATGCCAAAAAGGCTTTAGGAGTTAGTTTCTCTACCTCATCACTGAAGGGAATGGATATCCTTACTGAGCGTACAACTGCTCAGGACAAAGCAGAAGAAAAACACAGAGACTAAGTCATGATCTTTAAATGTTTTCAAGCACTCATATGGAGGGGGAGAAAGGCCTCTTTCTCAACATTAGAAACATTAAAAACTACTCAACATTAAAACCTAACCCCCAAGCTCATCATTTGAATGGCCTCACATTAAATACATTCTTACCAAAGAACATTGGGATATCCAGTTTGTCTTCTCTGTCTACTTTTCTCTTAATCATAACAATATAAACGGCATACAGCATGGCTCCAACAAGGGACCAAATAGAACCTGCAAAAACCAAGATAATGCCTTAAGGCACCTAGTCATAAAAACATCCAATGTATACTTGTTTCAAGTTTAATACCAGACACTATTTCAAAAAACAAGAGTGTTCAACACTGTAGTTAATTATTCTAAAGACAATTGTTCTACTCAATCTACTGGGTTTTTAAAATTATCTCTAAACCTTTTTTAAAAAGCAAAAGGAAAGTCTATCAACAAATCTCTTGGCTCTAGTGCTGAGCACAGCAAATTAAGCTGTCCCCTGCAAACTGGCATCTCACGGGGTCCCAGCTGCTCCACTTCTGATCCAGCTCCGTGCTAGAGCTCCTGGGAGAGCTGAGAATGTGGAGGAAGTGCTTGGGCCACTGAGATGGAAGACCTGTATGCAGTTCCAGGTTTCTGGCTCTGGCCCAGCCCAGGCCCTGCCACTGCAGCATTTGGATAAACCATCTTCCTCTCTCCCTGTCTCTCCTCTGTCAATTTGCCTTAAAAAAATAGTTTAAAATAAAAATTACATGAAGTACTTTAATAGGAAATGATATTTAAAGTAGTAACTTATTTTGGACTAAAATGTTTTGTTTATAATGTAAGGTACATATTATAAAAAAATGCATGGACTTCAAAAAACTGCACCAAAATAAACTCACATTTTTTTAATAGATTTATCTGTTTTTATTGGAAAGGCATATATACAGAGGAGAGGAGAGACAAAGATCTTCCTTCTGCTGATTCACTCCCCTAGTGGCTGCAATAGCCAGAGCTGAGCCACTCTGAGGCCAGGAGCCAGAAGCTTCTTCCAGGTCTCCCACACAAATGCAGGGTCCCAAAGCCTTGGGCCATCCTCGACTGCTTTCCTACGCCACAAGCAGGGAGGTGGATGGGAAGCAGCAGTAGGGACTAGTACCAGCGCACATATGGGATTCTGGCATATGCAAGGCTAGGACTTTAGCCACTAGGCTACCACGCCAGGCTCAAACACACATTTTTAATTAAATTTTTCACAAATAGCATAAAATATCTTTGTATACATTATTTTATATGCAAGGGGTTTCAGAAAGTTCATGGGAATTTTGTATTATCTTTTAATTCTACTTTTCATGAACCTTATAAAAACTGACTACTTTTGAGAAAAAGATGAGGCAATTCAAGGCGCAGCATTGTTTTATTCAACAAACTTCAAATACCTGCGCCAGGCGTCGTGGCCTAGCAGCTAAAGCCCTCACTCTGCATGAACCAGGATCCTATATGGGCGCTGGTTCTAATCCCAGCAGCCCTGCTTCCCTTCCAGCTCCCTGCTTGTGGCCTGGGAAAGCAGTCGAGGATGGCCCAAAGCCTTGGGACCCTGCACCCACGTGGGAGACCTGGAAGAGCTCCTGGCTCCTGGTTTTGGATCAGCGCAGCACCAGCAGCTGCAGTCACTTGGGGAGTGAACCATCAGTCAGAAGATATTTCTCTTTGTCTCTCCTCCTCTATATTTATATATCTGACTTTGCAATAAAAAAAATAAATCTTAAAAAAAAAAATCAAATACCTAAATAAATTATCCAAAGGAAATCAATTAACTAGGTTCTGATTACCTTTGTTTTATTAAGCCTAAGCCTGAGACCAAATTTGTTTATCATAGTTGAAACTGCTTCAGACAAGAATCAAGAATGCATAACAAAATTGGTGGGTGGAAGTATGATTGCAACAGAGTATTTGTCTAGTCTCAAAGTATCTCTCCACACCACGCTTATTACCTACAAAGGAAAAAACCAGTAATTTTACTCTGGAACAACCTGGCCGAAACCATGTTGGCATTAACACCTGCAGCAGCAGGTCAAATCAACACCATGTGCCTTCTGGTACAAAGCACTGATCAGATAAGGAAACACATTCTTAGCAAAAGTACACAACTTCAAGTTCACCATGAAGAAATCAGGCAAACTCAAGTGAGAGATATTCTACAAATAATTAGGCTGTATCCTTCTAAAGTGTCAACATCCTAAAAGACAAAAACAGACCTAAACACAATGCCAGATTACAGAAAACCACAGAGCCATAACAACTAAATGAAACATCAGCAGAAATAACAGGGAAATGTGTAAAGGCCTGTAGGCAGGATATTACTATTTAAATCAATGTTAATTCCTGATATTTATAACCGTCATTGGATGAATTATTAACAACTTCAGAGCATGGATGAAGGCTCTATGAAAACTCTATTAAGTATTTTTAATTGTTTTTTACATTATTTCTAAAGGAAAAGGCTTTTTTAAAATGAGTTTATAGTTCACATGCTCTAAAAAAAATACATAAAACGTACTTCTCTGCTCATAACAAGGAGAGCATAGTCAGTTATTTACCTATTGTATCTCTTCCAGCAGACTTTTCGGATCCTGATAGGTTTACCAGCACAACACCTCCAATGCTGTAAGAACAACAAGCTGTTACTGATAAGGTAAATGATAAATTCCTTAAGAGGCTAATTATACAGACAAATTATTTGTAAGTGATCAAGACTAATCTCACTTTAGGTAGAGCTATTGAAGTATTTCATGAATTCATTAATAAAAACTAACAATGTTATCAGTAAAGCATAGTGTTATAGTTCTATTAACTAATTTAATATAAAATGCACAACACTGCCCCACATGAGAAGCATTATTAAGGTCATTCACACAGTTTAAGTGAGGAAACTATACACAAATTGGCAAAGTCAGTGGACCAAGACGAACTTGACTCCAGAGTCCAACATTTTTAAGCACTACTGCCCTTCAACTGGAGAAAAATCAACCAACTTTTCATTCCTCTAGCAGTCTTACGTTTGGAGATGTAAGAATATTAAGCCAACACAGACAGCACTGACACTATCCTTGTTTACTGGCAAAACCTAAGTTAAAAGTGAAGCTATCCTTACTGAAGTAATTCCACTAATCCCATTATTTTAGTGGATAAAAACAGGACTAAACTAAGAATATAATCAGTATTTTGAGCACCTAATGTGAGTGAATGAGATGCAGATAGCTTTTGTGTTCATGGAGCTTACATTATCCTTCTATTGCTACACATCTTCTTAAGGTGTATATAATTTTCAAGTAGATTGAATATTTCTAATATTAAAAAGGCTCAATTGTCTCACCTACTGACCAAAATGACCATGTGACAGTGGTTGAGGGTATTAAGAAATGATCTTCCCTTGTGAAATGATGTCATAAGTCAAATGTAATCCTTACATTAAATATTCATTATCCTTCAAGTAAATAATCAGAGTTCAGGATTCAATGATCTTTTAAACAAATCAGATTCAGATATGATTTGCATGTCAACAACATAAGAGATTTTATTTTCCTCTGGAAAATAATGATTGTTAAATATACTGAACATCTGTTACATAACAGATATTGTCTCAAACATTTTGTGAGTTTTAATAAATGTAATCCTTTTGACAATCCTACACAACAAATCCTACTAACTACCTCAACATATACATAAGGAAGCTGGTAGAGTTAAGAAACTTGCCTAAGCTCTCAAAACTAGTAATGACAGAACTGGAATTAGATTCCAGGGAAGCTGGAGCCCACTCTTTCATTGACCATACAATATCATTGAAATGAGATTTCTTAGCTTATCAGATTGTCTTCAAGATGGTTACAATGTCAGGTTCTTTTTAGAATTTCAGAAATCGAATGTCATCATTTAAGGTTTATTCATCACAAATTATTAAATAGTGTTTAATATGACATTTTAAGAACACAGAAAGTCTAGGTAGTTTTTGTACACCTCTGGTCAAACATTTCTTGAGGAGCAGAAGAGACCACATGGTCTCTTTTACAATTAAACTTCATTGTTGTACTAAAGCCACATAGCCAGTATGCAGATTAGGATTATTTCAAGAAAATGTCATTAACAAAACACTGACAGTAAGCCTGCCTCAGTTGGTCAGTCCTTATTCTAGACCCACTGTGAAAAGGAGTAACAGAATCTGGCAAAATATTTACAAAGTCTGAATTTCATATCCATATTCTTCTTTATTGAACCTTTCTTTATTAAGACATTATAAAGAAAAAGCTAAAAGGGAAACTTGCTTGAATAAAGCTGAATAAAAGTACACTTGCCCAAACAAATGTACTTCGTTTCCCTAATGTGAAAATATGACAGGCTAAAGTATTATCCAATCATATAAAAGATCAAATCCCTAGTATCAAAAACTTGAAATTATTTAAGGCAGGTATGTCACCCAGAACTCACTGAAACTATCAGTCAATTTACACTTAAATCCAAAAATGAGAAACATATATCAATTAGAACTATCAGTAGCAGTCTCTATGAGAGTCACTTTATAAATGCCACCATCACTTTTAAAACAAGGTGGCAAAAGCAGATAAGGCCAATAATTTCCCCCCTGAGATTTTAAGGGAACTGCTCAGGCTCAAAAAGCAGAGTTGTGATTCAGTTCCAACTCTGACAGCCAAGAAGCACAACTCTCTCTATTAAACCACCCCAGCACCACTCTGATTTGTGGTTTTTTCCTAACAAGAGCATCTTTATCAAACCAACATATCATTTTTGACTGCTAGGGGCAAAATCTTGTGCTAAGGCTTTGGGTCCCTGTGGATTAAATACCCAGAAAGAAGGCAAGGCAAACAAGCACACAATCGGATACAAATAAAGACTGAACTGCAGTTTTAACACAATACTGGTGGTGCGTGGTAGTACAAAGCTGCTAAACAAATTATGCAGCAACTAACTAGATGATCACTAGGGCCTAGACAATTAAAGAATTACAGTGAACTGAATGTTACATTTCCAGGAAAAAAGTACAAGGAGAAATCAAAACCAAAACCTGTCTCAGCAAAAGGAAATTAACACTTCAGAGGTTATGAGGGTTCAAATGTCACATCAGGTTAAATGAGACCAGCAGCACAATACTAAGTGTGAATTTACACAAGTGGGAATCCAAGCTGCTTGGGGACTCTTCCCTACAGTCACCCTGCTCAAGAAGCTTGGGATAACTGCTCCAGCGCCTGACACAGGACTGATTAGCACGATGTCCACCTAGGGCCTTTATTATCCTCATCTGTCTTTGTACATCATTAAACAACTGCCTATGAAACTGTGCCATAAAATGATATTTAAAATAATAAATAAATAAATATTTTGGACTCCCCTCCCAAAACAATATAAATTATTATTAAGACTATTTTTTAATACTGCAGTTTTAAGCAGAGCAAACTACTTATTATACTACAGATATACTAATGGTCTTACCTTAAAATTACAGCTAATAATTTTGAGAGGGTAAATCTATCTCCACTGTTGCTTGGAAACACTGCAGCAAGAATTAAGGTAAACAGACCTATGGGGAAAAAAGGATGAAAACAAGGTACATGAACCCTTTGTCCACCTGCTTTTACACTGCCTTTTAAAATCATTTTTAAATGACTAAGGCTGCAGTTACCTAGCCTAAAATGCTCAAAGTCAGACATCTGTACTAAACCACATTTATTTTAACAACACAGATCAGAGTTCTATTTATTTTAAACTAACAAAAGAGTTACAAAAAGCCTTCAGAATAACACTATGACTTCATCATATTCAAGTCTATGTGCTGAGGTTATTTTTATCACTTCAAAAATACTTCTTTTATCTTCCAGACTTGGAAAGTGATTCAATTTTAAAAATAAAACACCTTAACATGGGTTAAATTATAGTTCTCAAAGAAGCTGTTACATTTAGCCAGAGGGTCTATAAAAAACATCTTTGGAAAGGATATATTCAGGGAAAGATAACTACAACTACAAAATAAAGAACCACCTGTATAATTTTAATATAGTGTCATATAAACATAATTCTGTAAAGTATCTGAAAAACATAAATAGTACAAGACAAAGGCAAGAAGAATATAAAAATTAAACAGCTAAAATACATTAATGTCTCCCCAAATTAATGTAAAAACATCCAACAATGAAAGAAATATATAACGCCTGTATGTATATACATATAAGTGTGTGTGTGCATATACATCAGAAAATACATATATCACTTATACAGGTTTGAAAACAAATTTCTTACCAGAAGTTGAAGACAAAATATTAACGATAGCAACTTGTGTGTCTGAAAGTGCTTCCTGATAAGACAAATTTGCCAAAAACCACTAAAAAGAAAGCAAAATGAAACTTCTTAAAACACATGTCTATATCTTTCATAATGATTACAGTGCTCTCCTTTCTCTCCTGAACACTGTTAAAATGAGAGAATTTAAAGCTGTTTTGCACTGAAAAAAAAAATGACAAATATTTACAACCAGAGTTAACATTCCTGCTATCCAATTTCCTTTACTAAAGTAATAAATGTTTGTTGAAAGCTGGCTTGACTTCTTTTAAATGAAAAGAAAAATTAAGTATCAAACTTTAAAATTTGCTGTTAATCAGGGGCTCTTAGCATGCTAGGAAGTTTATTTAGACCAAATTTGAACTGGGGAACAAAACCTCATACATTAAACACATACAGATGAACAGCGCAATAAAAACTCTATTAAAACAAATGCACCCATGTGGGGAGATACAACTATTTAGCTAGGTAAATTGACAAAATCTGTATCCACTTCAAGAAAGGTCTAACGAAAACTGTGAGTTTATTGGCAACTATTCATCTGAACATTTATCCAATTCCCAGTTTAGGGACACAAGGCAAGACATTCTCATAATTCTGGACCCACTGAAGGAAGCTTTACAGCTATGATTAAGGTTTTATTTCTCTTCTTTGCCTTCTGCTCATCAAGGTTGTAATATTATTCTATTAACAATCCTGTGCCTACTTTGATTTAAGAAATAGGAAATAAAACCTTCTTTTAATCATCAAGAGGCTGATGGAAAGTTCATTTATTTCACACCAGTAATTTCATTTTTTGTGGCTGGATATTTTTATACTATTTCAGACAATGTTATTCTGAGCATTCTAGCACAAACCATAGGCTGAACTGTTACTAATGCATGTACTAAGAATGGGATGGCTGGGTCAACTGAAGTAAGCAGCCGGGCTATGTTTTTGGTGTCTCTGTTACTTATAGACTGACTTCCAAATTCCACTGAAGACTGTCTTCTCTCTGAAGAGGAACACGCCTTGATCTCTCATAATTTACCACTAAGTATTATGACACACAGGAACTATCAGAGGTAGCAGATAGCCAAGAATCTAGCGATTTCCAGTCTATAATCGAGACTGAAGCTGCAGTGAAATTGTGTCAACATGATTTTGATTCCATCTAAACTGAACTGCATCTGATTTCCAAGACGATTTCTCTTGCCTATCTAAACAGTAAAACGAGGTAGCAACTGGTAAGTTGGGTTATGCTAAACATGTACAGCAATAAGTTACAATCTGCCTGTAGAGGCAGAGTTTGCCCTTAGTTATCATTTTTTTAAAGATCTATTTTACTTTTTATTGCAAAGTCAAGCATACAGAGAGGAGGAGGGATAGAGAAGAATATCTTCTGTCTGTTGATTCACTCTCAAAGAGGTTGCAACAGCTGGAACTAAGCCTTTCTGAAGCCAGGAGTGCAGAGCCTCTTTCAGGTTGCCCATGTGGGTGCAGGATCCCAAGGCCATTAACTTGAAGCTGAACAGGAAGTGAGCAGCTGAGACAAGAACAGTGCACACATGGGAATGCAGGTACTGCAGGTGGAAGATTAGACTGGTATACCACCACATCAGCCCTCAGGGTCCCTTCTAATGTGCCTGGGAAAGCAGCAGAGGATGGCCTAAGTGCTCGAGACATTGCACCCAGAGCTTCAGCCTGGCTCAGTCACAGTTACTGAGGATATTTTGGGAATGAACCAATGGATGGAAGATAGCTCCGTTTCTCCCTCTCGTTCTCTATAATTCCACCTTTCAAATAAGCAAAATAAATCTTTAAAAAACAAACCAACCAACAGCATTTAGGTCTCTGTCACCCATGTGCAAGATCTGGGGGAGGGGCTCCCTGTCAGGTGCTTGCTCTGTGTTTACAACAGCAGCTGGCCAACTCTGAATTTACTCCAGAGTTTAGGGCTACGATTCAGGCCTGGCCCAGCCCTGACTGTTGCAGCCTTCTGGGGAATGAGCCAGCAGATGAAAGACTCCTCTCTGTCCACCTCTATTACTCTGTCTTTCAGATAAATAATCTTATTGAAAAAAAAAATCATAGGAAATGCTGTAGAAATATTTACTGTACTTGCTAAAATAACATTTAAACACATTACATAATTTAATATAAAACTGCAGAAACACATAATCTGAATAAATTAACATATATAGTGAACTCTTACTTGGATTATTACCAGCCCCTCATATTTTAGAGCATGAGGAAGATAACTCTACTCGTTAATCTAACCCTAGGACAACATCTGGAAAACTTCTTAAACTGTGCTTGTGTATATATAAATAGTCTTGTGGTTGTAGAATTTTTAAAATTATAATTCTTGGAGGTATGTCAAGCACCCATTAACTTTGATACTTCCTAATGATGCCAGACAGTAGTTTAAAAGAGTTTAAAGTTACAATTAACAGTCTAAAAATCTTACACCTTTATATGATATTGTTATATACAGTCACATTAAAATTACAAGCCTAGTTAAGAAATGACCTACCACAAAGCAAAAAAAAAAGCTGATTTTTGCTACTTGAGTTGCAGTCAATTTCCCCACAGTTTTCAATATGGATTCTTGTTCTTTCACAGTAGGATATGACATGCGAGACAACTTTGCTTCTAATGCATGGCTTGATGGAAGCTGTCGGATCTCCATGATATTACTGAACCTTACACGAGACTTTTTGGGAGCTTAAAAGGAAAGCAAAGCAAAAAAATCAATAAATGCTTCCCATTGTAATCAATAAAACTTAGCAACAAAACTCATTTTTAATGATAAATGTATATTATTCATTCACCTATGATCAAAGAAAACCAGAGTTATGTTATTACCTAGGATATCTATTCCTACTCTAAACAATGAACAGGAAATATGGTTTCATCTATGAAAATGCTTTCAAGGTTATGAGACCAATATTCAAACAAGTCATTTTAAAATGTGTAAATTGCCTGACTCAGGAATTCAGTGTAAATATTAATAGGGATTATAATTAAACTTTGGATTTGTTCTTCATGAATACCCAATTTATGTGAATTACTTTCTTGGGTAGACATGCAGAACATTCTTGGGTACGTTCATTCCTTGCGAGAAAACTTGTGGCTAAATCCTGTGCCTTATCCTGAAGACAGCATGCTTTAATAAACTCACAGAATCAGCAAAATTCACCTATTTGCTGTAAGGGTTTATGAAAGCATACTAAAGAGGACACTGCTCATTAAAAAAAATACATTTATGATGAAAACACAGAGATTATTTTTGGTGCTTGGATTTCTGCTTGATTTAATACAAAAACAATTATACTTGTCAGATTCACAGTCTATTCAAACTTGTAGAAGACTGGTGGATGACCCAACAGATGTGGCTGGGAATTCCAGTCAGTGCAGAAAACCACAGGTGTAGGGCTGGCTGCAAGGCCGCATAAAGCTAACCCTCCCAGCCCTTTCTAAGATTGGGATTGCAAGTTTTGCTCACTTTTTTCAGTATCGACGCTCGTGCCCTCAGGTTTTCCACTCGGAAGATCATGAAACTTCACAGGAACATACAGAGGCTCACTCTGGAAGGCAACAGAAACAACACACAGTTTTTTTAAAAAAAAAATGAGTAAATTTTTTTTAATTCCCCTCCAAAAACATACCACCCAATGGTACATAGCAGAAATGGAAGGCTGGTTTGTCTAACTGTTCTCTAAAAGGTCTGTATTTTTGGGTGGTTCTAAATGACTAATCCCTTTTCCAAATGTTTCAGGGGTGATCTAATTTTAAAGTACACTTCTTCAACTAGACTGCTTCTTAAAAATTAACAGAGAAGAGTTTTTTATGTCTCTTGAGTTTTAACCCTTGGTATTGAACACTGACAATGACAAATGTTCAGTAAAAAGACAACAGAGTCTAGAAACAGACCTGGTTAGCCTCTTTGTTATACTGAACTTTTCATTATAGTATTTGGACTAGCATAATTTTGTAGAATCATGCCACAGGTAACAGCAAGGAATAAAACTAGTCAAAGAGTAGGCTGCCATCTCAACTCTTGTCTCTGACCAGCAGAGACAGCTGATAATAAGCCACCTTGGCAATACTTGAGATTCCAGAGGGAAGAAAAGGACACCTCTTCACAGTACAGCCTTACCTATACCAGATTCAACCACAGTTCTAAGAAGCATACAAAGCAAAAGTAAAACATCTACTGCCAATGAAGTCACCAAGCTGATACTTGATACAAGGGCTTCCCAAGTTGATACTAAATTTCAGAGAATTTTAATATCATTCTCAGGTGGAACTCTGCATTTGAAAGAAGGAATGTGAAAACCACACTTTAAATAGATGCTTCAGTGATGCCCAAAAAGAATGGGTTTTACAAACGATCTCCCCCAATAAATTTCAAATACTTAAGGAAGTAAATACACCAACTACTTCATCTGCTTGCTTATTAACATACAGACACTATAATATATGCTATATTTCAAAAGCCTAGACCAAGTACTTAACATATACTAGGATCCACACTCTAAAAAGGGGGGAATGAATAAATGAACAATCTACTTATATTTTCAGAGAGTCAAGCAGAAATGTTTGTCCCTAAATGATAGTGAGTTTGAAGTGGAAAAGTTGGCAAGCAATAAAGGATTTTCTTTTGCTATTTTCACTCCTTAACTAGTTTACCCTTCCCCTTTCTCCCTAGAGGTAGCCAAACTGCTTATCTGCAAGCCCCAGTTTACACTGGGAAGGAAGAAAGGAAGGAAGAAAGTACTAAACAACAAGTTTCTTGGAGGGCATGCAACATTAAGCTGTAATCCCTACTGTAACCATGGTGCCATCCAAGCTCTTTTGAGTTCTTCCTGCAAAACGGCTCAAGTCCATATACTCCACTTACCAAATACAAAACTTACCAAAGAACTAGTCATAGCTGTATCTGTGGTGCAAGCAGCAAAATAACTTTCAGCATCTGCAAACTAAATACAGATAACAAAACACAACTCAATTAAACTCAGAGGTAGGATTGGTCAGACACAGCTCAAAAGAATGAAACAGTGAAATAAGCCAATTCCAAAGGAAAAATATAATATGTTTTCTCTCATATAAGCCAATGTTCACACAAAATCCAACCCAAGTAGATAAACAGGTAAACATGTATATACATATATTCTCACAGATGAACTATATAATGGAAACTAGCATACCAGAAAGTGAGGACACATCATAGTAAGCATCTCTACTACTGAAAGGAGGACAATCAATGAAACTGTAAAACATAATTAACAACAGGATACTAGACTTTCTACCATTGCCTGTATCTACTATGCCACGACACACTTAAACAACAGAACACTGGACTTGTGACTACTGCTAAAGAACTATACTTCTGTAATAACATGGAGGAAAACAATGGGGTGGGGAGAACTGAAGGATGAAACGGAAGTGGAGAGGTGAATCCCTATATCTACAAAACTACATCATAACAAATAATATAAATCAAAATAAATAGTAAATAAAAATTTAAAATACAACAAAATTCCAAAGCATACCTATAGGAGTATAATTATGACTAATATAACTCCAGCTAATGCTAAGTATTAAAACATGAAAACTAGGTTTTATAATCTTCATTTAACTGATGAAGAAACTGAGACTAAGCAACTGTTCTAATATCAAAGCTTATGATTTTTACATAACTCTAATAACATTTATGATACTGGAAAGCCTGAAAAACAAACAGGATGTCGGTATTAACATGAAAACAGTCCTTTAGTAAAAGGCGAAAGATGTATACAATCTGAAGAGAAAACAGAGTATGTGAAAACAGTTCTGACCTCATGAAACCCCTAAATGGATCCCAGGGACTGGGTCAAGCTTTGAGGACCACCCTAATGCTGTAAGAGTATGATTTCATTTCCTACTCATACCTGCCCTGGCTGGAAGTCTGAGGAGGCCAAATGATCTGCCCAAGGTCATAACACTAGTGACTAAACAATATCCAAGCACTAGAGACCATGCTCTTGTATACTGCTCGGAGAAAAATGGACAGGACAGGGATCATAAAGGAATTCTGGTGTCCAACAAATATGAACAAGCAACTAAAAATACACAGATTCAGCAAGCTGCTAATATATTATTCACCTGATAAACTGGAGAATAACAGGACTTTTGGTAAGGGTTCATTTTTACATAACACTAATAAAGATATGAATTGTTACAAGTATTGCAGATGATGATTCAGAAATAAGAATCAAAAACTTAAAAAACATTTTTTATTTACCAACATGATATTAGAAATTTAAATAAGTAACTACACAAATACAAGGATACTCCTATTTATTTACACCAAAAGCAAAAATAGAAACAATCCGTCAAAAGTTAAATAAAACAGGAAAAGATAAGAAATGTTAGTTTTTCACCTATAAGTTTTTCATGATATACTGTTAGGTGAAAAATAAAACTAGGCTAGAAAATTGTAAACCTATTTATGCTACACATATTTTTTAATAGAAACAAAATATATGGAATCATACAGTACCAAATATTTATAATAATCTTAAAACAGTGGGAATATGGATAATTCTTCTTATTCCTTCTATTATCATAATTAACATTTATCACTATTAAAATTTTTACGTTAAGAAGAATATCACAGTATAGCCTATCATTATTCCTTGGTTGTTTCTTGAACAGAAATATTTACTACTTTCTTCTTTCTCTTCCTCTGCATCTTCTGCACATATATTAATAAACATATAAGGAACTCCCACAGGCAGTTTTTCACTGTATGCATATTTCTATCATGTCTAGGCATTACTCTTGCAAGGGAAAAATATTTATACTCATATTTTGGTAAAGTTGAATTTGTGTAGCAAAGAGTGTAGTTTTTCAGGTTTCCTATCTAAACAATTATTGAGAAACCCCAGACAAAAATCCAACAAGCACATTTCTCAAAAAAAATATACCCGAAATATTTTGACCCACAAAAGCTAGTATGTACAAAAGAAAAGAACAAAGAAATACAGAGGTGACCAGCAGGTGGTGGGAAGGAGGTCAAGGTTTTTTATTTAAAGGGGACAGTATTTCTTTGGGATGATGAAAAAATCCTGGAGATGGATGGTAGTCATGGTTGCATAGTACAGTGACCGTGTTGAACGCCACTGAAAGAGCTTAAATGGTCATTTTGGGAGTATACATTTTCCCAAGAGAAAGAATTTTCAGAAAGGATTAATACTGGGGACAATTTCATTTTCTTCATTCTCAAAAACTGCCAAGTTTCTATTTCTCTAAGGAAGGCACATCACTTTGTAAAATATCCTTTTTTGACACAATGAATTAAACAGTATATTAAACTAAACAATATAATTTGTCAAACATCTGAAATAAATCCCAAAATATGCTATTCTCATTATTATATATTTCTATAACCAATTATATTACTAATTATTTGACATCAAATCTGCAAATAACCAAGACAAGCTATTCTTCTTTCTCTTTGCTTTGGTCTTTCTCTCCACATCGGTTGATGTGAGCGAGCTAATTCAACAACTTTAAACAATTCCATTACTGTCACAGCGTAGTGGAAAGAAAGTGATTATGCACTCTTGGCTTTTCATAAGATATTTTGATGCCACATTATTCAGAAGACCAAATTAAAACTTTTGGACAAAAGCAGCTTTTTATCCAAGGTAGACTTTTCTTAAATTCTACTTTCACTCACTTGATTGAACAACTTGATATCTGAATATCCTTAACAATTAAAACATATTTAAAGCTTTAAAAAAATATATACCCCCTCAAAATATAAAACCAAAAACTTACAAATGTAGCATGCTTGCCTCGAAATCCTCTTGTACACTGCTGCCTCCATGGCTTCCAAATAATAAAACCCACCAGGTAAAGAACGAACATGGATGTTTTTGCAAAGGTGCTGAAGAATGGCTTGTTGTACTGAGTGAAAACATACTGTGGAGGAAAAAAGTTACATAGACAACTCTAAGATGACTTTAAACCTTATTACTCATCTCCAATAAAATAAAGCCATTATACGATTTTCAAAAGTAATTTACTGAAGTGGGGAAGGTCAAAAGGGATTATAAAAACAATCTTAATTCACTTCTGAGTATTTCCTTTGCCTGGCATATAAACAATAATATCAGTAAACAAAGTGGCAACAACCTTCAAAAAAAAGTTTTGCTCAATATTCATTGATAATCTACTGAACAACAGTATCTGAGCTAAGGGCTAAAGAAAAATGAGACTTTGAGAAGTGTAAAATCTAATAAAGCAGACACAAGTAAGAGAATGTAGCATAGCATGCTGAGTCCCAGGAGAGGGGTCCAGGGTCAGCGTTTGAACGTCAGGCACATTGCCTGAGAGACAGGCTATCTGTGCTGGGATGGCTGAAGAGGCAGTCAGTCCAAACGGAAAGAAACCCTGAAGGAAGGAAAGGAAACAGAAAGGTATGTAAAGAAAGCCATGTGAAATTTAATGTTATGGGGAAGTTACAGAAAACAAACTACATGCTTCATTTAAGTTGGAAATATCAATTGACACTTAAGATTTTTTTTTGTGTCATAGGGAAAAACAAAGCAAACAAACAACAACAAAAATTCTTCTAGTTCTGTGCACTGAAAATTCTTCTAGTTCTGTGAACTGACAACCCAGGAGGAATAAGCAACTCCAGGGCAAGACAGCAGGCTGTGTCATCTGGCACAACAAGGTATGGCCCCTGGAAGAAATGACCAAATCCAGGTGTGGAGTCAAAAATGTACAAGATGAGCCTGAGGGCACTTTGTGCCAGAAAGCAAAATAAGAGGCTCATGATTTGTGAAGTCATATGGATAGTACCCCAAAATCAATCTGATGGGGCCACCACAGGTTAAAGGCAAAACAACTCAAACAGTTAAAATAAAAAAAGTAATGCAATGATTTGAAACATATCAAATAGGTGAAGTATGAAAAACCTGAATTTAAAATGACGATTAAAAAATCCCACAGCGGTTACTACTGGAAGTTGTTAGCTAATTCTAATATAAACAAAGGGAACATAACCAATTTATCCAACCATCCTTACATGAATCATATTTTCAAGATAACTAAGTAGTGGTTACCAAATGCTCTTAGCCTACAATGTCAGGATAATAATGAACTTAGAAGAATAATGAACTTACAGCTGATTGTGAAGGGCTACACTACTGTAATGACATGGGGGAATCCAGAGGGGGAGGGATTTGGGGATGGAGCAAGGAAATCCCAGAGCCTATGGTACTGTGTCACGGAATTAAAAAAAAAAAAAAAAAACCTAGCTTATCACTTCATAGTCAATAGAAGTTTCATTTTTTTCCCCTAAGATCATGTTTTTGATTACAGTAGAGGGCCTATCATATTTTTTGCTTATAAGTTAAATAAAGCTCGGACTCTCTGCCATTGTCCATACCTACAATGTAAGGTTACACTTGAACAGCAGAATGATGGACATGTGACTGTCTAAGAAGGACTATACTATTGCAATAATACGGGGAAAATCGGGAGAAAAAAAGAGAGGAAGGAAGGAAGGAGGGAAGGAAGGAAGAAAGGTAGGTTGGTCCAGCTAGAGGCTGCCTGCTGTGGCACTGCGGGTAAAGCCACTGCTTGCGATGCTAACACCCATACGGACAGTGTGTATGTTCTGATCCGGCTCCCCGTTGAGGAAATGGAAAAGGAGCAGCAGAAGGCTCAAGCGCTTGGGCCCCTGTACTCAAACGAGAGATCTGGATGAAGCTCCTGGCTCGCGCCTGACTAGGCACTGGCCATTGTAGCCATCTGGGGGGAATATCCAACAGTTAGAAGATTCTCTTTCTCTTTGCCCTTTTCTCTTCAAAAGAAACAAACAAATCATCCAAAAAAAAAAAAAAACGCTTAGAAAAATCATCACTGAAGAAGTCACGGGAATTCCAGGACAGGTATTCAGTTAATTACTGCCTAAAGCATGACGAGAAGTTTGTTATTAGACAATAACAAACACAAAGGAATCACCAAGATATTTCTCCTAAAATCAGAACCTACACAAATGCTTTATATCTAACTACCATTTTTTCAACAAATATGAAAAAGTGAAAGTGAAATGGCACCTCAAGGCGACAATCAGGGAAACCCAGGATGTGTGACACACATCCTACAGGAAAAAAATAAACTCGCTTCTGCAACAAACCAATAGCATGGAAAAAAAAACTACAACAGGGAGCAACAGTTAAGTAAAATGACCTCCATGATAGAATAAATGCAACATGTGACCTCTGCTTAGATCTGCAAGCAAACCTGGGGAAAAAAGGCCTTGACAAAAACACCAGTATGAATATGACCTAGATGTTAGACAATTTTAAGGAACTATAATTAATTTTGTTAGACGGTAATGACAGAGACATGAGCTTAAAAAAGCAGTTCTAGTCAGTTGAGGTAGATAGGAAAGAAATTGCGTAGACATGATTTGCTTTAAAGTATTACAGGAGGAGCAAGGATTTGAGCCAGTGATTGGAGCAATGCATGAGATGCTGCATTCCACGTGAGAATCCCAGCTACCACTCAGCTTCCAATCCGGCTTCCTACGGGTGCACACTGTATGAGGCAGCAGGTGATGGTTCAGGTATGTGAGTGCTTGCGACCCACACAGGAGCCCTGGACGGGGTTCTAGACTGCTGGCTGTGAGGTGGTCAACACTGGTGACCGTGGACATGTGGGGAGGAAGCAGCAGATGAAAAATCTCCATCTGTATCCCTGCCTGCCTGGTAAAATGAAAGATAATCAAAATACAATACAATTTAAAAATTGGGGGCCAGCCTCAAGGTGTAGCAGGTAACAGCCGCGTGCTGCGACACTGGCATTTCCTTGGGCACTAAAGTCCTGGCCGGTCCAGCTTCAATCCAGCTCCCTGCAAACAGCCTGGGAAAAGCAGCAGAAGATGGCCCAAGGGTTTGGGTTGCCACCATGTGGGAGGCCCAGAAGAAACTCCAGCCCCCAGCAAAATCTGATCATTGTTAGGCAAAGAACATCTGGATATGTGTATTGTTTACTTTACATGTTAGAAAATTCCCAAATGAAAAATATTAATTTTATTTTTGAAGTGTGTAATTTATGTGAAAGGTTTGCTGAGTGTATCAGACTGAAGAAACAGGCATTTTGTATGAGAAAGTTTTATAAACAGCTTTGGATAGCAGATTTTACTTATTTTATTATCAAACAAAATAAAAGAGGATATTTAAAACTAAAATTTAAAATATGTTTGGGGGCAATCATTTCATCTAGTGGTTAAGGGCGTCGGAGTACCTGCAGTGGCTGTTTGGCCCTGGCTCCTGGTATCAGCCCTGCAAGGCAGCAGCGATGCCACAAGCCATCACCTCCCCCACTCACAGGAGAGACTTGAGTTTCCAGCTCCCAAGTCCTACCCAGTCCGGCCCTGGACATCAAGGATATCTGGGGAATGAATCAGCAGACTGGGGTCTTCTCTCTGTCTCTCTATCTCTGCCTTGCTAAATAGGAAGATAAGGTTTGTTCCCCACTAATATCAAGAGTATTTCTTTGAGCAAAAAAATTACAGAATGCTAAATTAGTCTAAAAGATTGTAGATTAGTTGAAAGTAAAAATGGCCAATGGTATTCCGGAGAAGCTAATAATTTCTTCATAGGACATGATGTTCATGTCAAGCATTCATATATGACCTGGGAAGACTTACAGCAACTAACTACTTGACATTTAAATTCATTTTTATAAATCTTAGCTCTTTTTTACAACTTTCTCTTAGAAATACATCACGCATCAAAATGTAGTCAGTTTTGAACATAAAAGTTGGTATCTTTTTATAGAGATCATATTTGCAGAGAAAAAAAATTAAATTTCGAAAAAACAAAACAGAAACACATTCAAAGACTAACATGGACTTCTTTCTAACAACCCTTACTGAAAGATATGATAAGACTATACCAGGCGCCAGGCCATGGCACAGCACATTAAGCCCCTGCCTGTGGTGGCTGCATTCCATAAGTGCTGGTTCAAGTTCTGTCCGCCCTGCTTCTGATCCAGCTCCCTGTCAACACACCAGGGATGCAGGCAAGTTGTCCCCCATGCTTGGGGGCCCTGCCAACTACGACCCAGATGGAGCTCCTGCGTTCTGCTTAGCTTACCCTACCATACAGAGCACTGAACCAGCAGACAGAGCTGTCCCTTCCTCCTTCTCCCTTTCAAATAAACACATCTTTAAGTACACACACACCCAACGACTGTATGAAACTAGTTGTAACTTACACTGATACTAATCCATGATAAAAGAAAAAAATGATTGCTCAATGTTTAAAAATACTGTTTTCAGTAAGCAGTAGAGGAATGGCTGCAACGACTGTGGGTTAACAGAAACAATGTTGTTCTCATGTGAGGCCACCAGCAGCGAACAGGAGGTGCATACCGAAGTGAGTTCCGAAGAGGCCACCCATATCACATCCACCAGCAGCAGAATAACGATCCCGAGGGCCAACCGCCGGCGCTGAGTGAAGCCGCTGCTCTGCGAGTTCATGCGGTTCATGATAAATACGCACACCATTTGGAGTCTGGGTTTCAGAAAATACAGATCTCATTTAGAGAGGTCTTTGGGAAAACAAGCAGTGGACAACAAGAAAAGGAGTGCGATCAAAGCACGGGACATGTGTGAGCTAACGTTCAGTAGGAAAAACAAAATCACAAAGGCATCCGGAGCCTGGAATGTACCTTGTTTTAAGGGCCTGTCTGAGATCTTCAAAAGCAAGGCCTGACCACCAGGGAGGTGAAGAACGCAGCGCACCTGGAAACCACAGAGAGGGGCTTAGCAAACGGCCAACGCACACGATGCACCCCCTCCAGTCGCTCACCCCTCACCTGTACACAGCAAGTAAACGACAACCCCCACCGTGTTCAGCGTCATGGACACCTTGTCCCCAGGCTGTCCCGGGAAGCACCACAGGAGGACAGCAGTGCTCAACAGGCAGTTTATTTAGGAGCACGCAGCTCCTGCAAGACAGCTGCTCCGACGCTCACAAATAACACAACTGCACCCGTGTCTCCTTCCAGAGTAATTCAACCCCAAAGCCAGGGCCCAGACACGCGCCCCCTGCCCCGTTTCTACAGGTGTCCTGTGCTGCCTCCAAGCCTCCAGGGCTGGAATTCGGTGACTGGAGAAGCGATCTGCAGAGGGTCTGGAGCGCACCTGTCCCAAAGCGTTTCCGTGGTTCGGAAAAAGGCTCCTCCAACGCCCCCGACCCCACTCCCAAGCCCTGCCACGACGTCTAGCTATTTCACACCCAAGCAGTCCTTGAGGAGGGCAGGAACCAGCTGCTAAACAGGAGTTCCTTCTCCTTTTGGGGGCGGGGTGGGGTGGAGGAAGGGAGTGGAAAATAAAAAGTTGAGTCGGCGGCGCCTGCCGTGAGAGCAAGGTAAAGCTCCCCGAGCGATTCAGCCGGTCCCGGGAGACCCAGGCTGTCGGCGGTCCCCGACGCCGACCCCGACCGCTGCGAGGTGTCCGGCCGGCCTCGGGGCCCTGCCCTCACGGCCTCACCTGGCTTCCCTGCCCCGCGATGGCGTCGTGGCGGCACCATGAGCGGACCCGGCCCGGCCCCGCCGCCGCCCAGCGCCACGGCCGCGGCCTCCGAGACTCACACAGCCGTGCCTGCACCCGCCATGCGTGCCGCACAGGGCCAGGCCGCCCGACGCCTCGTCTCCCCCGACTCCCGGGTAATAGAGCGAAGAAGCAGCCGCGGCCGCAGGACGCCCAGAGGCTCGGCCCTGGCCCGGCCCCGCCCCCTCGGCCGGCCCCGCCCCCCGCGGCGCGTCACGGCACGTCACGTCGCGGCGACGGCGCACCGCGGGGAGTGCGTGTGCACGGTGACATGGCGGCAGGAAGCAGAGGCCGGGGCGGCGCACCCTAGGAGATGCGTCCCGGAGCGGGGATGGGAGGAAAGGACGTAGGCTGAGGCGGGAGGGAGAAGAGCGAAGCCGGCGTGAGTGGGGAGGAGAGCGCGACGGGCCGAGGAAGTGACAGGGCTTGCGGGCAGCCCCGCCCTGGCTGCAACGCCGGCAGCTCCCTGGATGACGGACTTGATTCTCGGAGACGGGACCGACTAGCAAAGCGGCTTGGGAATGCTTTTGGTTCTTAGAAACTGCTCTGTGTAAGGCAGAATACCTGTCTCCTACACATTTCAGGTTCCTCGCCTGAAAAAAATGCTTGTTTGTGTGCAGGGATAGATTACGTGCAACTACAAATGTCGAGAACTTGGATTACTTCATGGCACACAGAACATGCATTAGCTGGATTCCTGTAATATAACTAGTATTGACTACCACAAATGCATTTTTTAAAGGATTCGTGCATTTTATTTGAAAGGCAGAGTTACAGAGAAAGAGAAGAAGAGAAGGACAGAAGGAGAGACAGATTTTTCATCCACTGGTTTCACTCCCACAATGGTTGCAGTGAGACTGGAGGAACCAGCAGCCTCTTCCAGGTCTCCCTTGGGGATGCTGAGACTCAAGCACTGGGTCACACCGCAGTGCTCTGCCAGGCCATCAGCTGGGAGCTGGATCCAAAGCAGAATGGTTGGGACCGCCCCTTGGAGGTGCCGGCAGTGCAGGCCTACACCTATCTTCCTTTGTCACAAAGCCAGCTTCCACAGCTGCGTTTTTGACATCTTCGTTGCACAATGAAATTATGGGAGGGAGGTAACTTTTTAAGGATGATTCGTTTCATAGATGTCAAATACATATTTATAGGACTAGTAAAACAACAGCAACAATGAATGTTTTGGTGTTGGTCTTGGTGGTTCTCAAACTGTTGCCATCAAGTATTTATAGTCAGTCATTAATTCTAGCAAATTGTGTGGAATAGAACAACAGCCATCTACTTGTAATTACTACTTGGGGTAACCCGGTTGCAAACATTAATCAGATTATTCCAGCACTAGTGTGTCTTCTTTCTGAGAGTCAGGGAAGCCGAGTTCTGCTTCCTGAGCTGCCCATGGTTGGTGAGGTATCTGTGCCTCAGTTGTCCACTACATCCTCAGTATTTAGCACCTAGCAGAGTTGGCAGGCAGTGGTGAGTAAAAATGAAACTACTTCTGTATCTTGACCTTTCACTTACACCTAATTCCTCTCCCAAGTCTCCTTTTTTTGTCACTTGATAGTACAGCACCATTTTCCTGGTCTAAAAAGTCCTAAGCTTTTTTTTTCCTTAATTATTATTATTAATCTTCCTTTTACTCTTCAAAATTGATCACTTGTAAGTTCCTGCAAAATCTCTTCATTATTAAGTCCTTACAGTTTAGCAGGTGATAATTCTGACACCTTAAAAAAAAAATTCCCCAAGGGTCTGGCACCATTGCCTTCACATGCAGCAACATGATTCCCCTATGGGCACTGGTTCAAGTCCCAGGTACCCCACTTCCCATCCAGCTGCCTACTAGTATCGTGAGAAAACAGTGAAAGATGTCCTAAGTGCTTTAGCTCCTGCACCCACGTGGCCGACCTAGGAGAAACTTCTGACAGCTTTAGATCAGCCTAGCTGTGGCCTTTTGTGTGTGAACTAATGAATGGGAGATTCTGTGTGTGTATGTTCTCTCTATGTAACTTGGAATTTCAAATAAAAAATAAATAAACATGTTCTTACATTCCTCAAAATATACTCCAGAGAACACAATACACTACAAAATGAGTAAGAAAGCAGAGTGTGTGTGTGCAATGCAATGACTCATTACCTGTCCTGGAAACCAGGCTTAGAAACCATAGTTCAATTCCTAGCCCTAATTAAATTACAATTGACTTTGTCTAAGATTTAGGTCTCTAAGTTAGTAGTCGAAGCCGTCTATAACCTGTACGTTCCACGTGTAGAAATTAACAGCCCTCAACTGAGACTAACAAAGCTGTTTACAGTCAACCCTCTGTGGCTAAAGGTTCCTTATTTATTGGGGACAAGTACAGCTTCACCGAACATGTCCAGACTTCATGTCTTTATTCTCTAAATCCTATAATATAGCATAATAGCTATTTACATAGCATTTACATTGTATTAGGTATTACGAGTAATCCAGCCATGATTCAAAGCATGTGGGTGGATTGCAAGAGTTACAGGCAAATACTGCACTAATTTAAATAAGGGACTTGAGCATCACAGGATTTTGACATCCGTGAGGGTCCCATAACCAGTCTGCCACAGATACTGGGGGACAACAGTACTGAAAACTTGCTGTGGCAGATAGGCATAGTCACTCATGTTCAGCATTGAATCAAGGGCACTCAGGGCAATAAAAGAGCTGGATAGTAGAAAAGATGAAATATGTCATATGCGCCCTCTAACCCTGATTGCAGGTTGTTGGTGAAGGGAAGATGGAGGCAGGTTACCCAGATGCAGCACATCTATGTGATCGGTTATGGCCTGGTACAGATTTGACTTTCGTGGTTCAAAGTTGGCAGTGGGACAAAAACTAAGGACACTGCAGCTGTTGCTAAGTCCTGGCTATTTGGAATTGCTGGCTTCAAGATCATGGTTACTTCTCTGAACTGGTTGCCTCACAGGTTGTAGGTCAGAGTTCTGTTTTTATATATGCTCTGAACATTGTCCATGTATGTATTAAGTCTCTCACAGCAGTCCACTGGATGTCATTGTATTCTCAAGTATCTACCAGACTTCTGGGCACTCAGCTGAATAAGCACTTGATTTTGTGACTATCTAAGGTACAGTTAAACTAAGCTTAACAATTTTTAAGTCTTTAAGTATAGATATATAAGAGACTTTCCAGTTTGGACCTTAATACATTTTATAGGCAAATTATGTGCTATGATGGAGGCCATAAAGCTGGGAGGTTCTAAGATACCTAAGGTATTAAAGGTTGTTGTATGCAATTGAGTGCTAGATTTCATGGCTTCCTGTGGCAAGGTGAAGCAGCAAAATGTCCGGAGATGTAAATGAAAGTTCTGTATATCTACAGACTAACCATCTCTGTGCAGTGCCAGATGAAAGTGCACTTAGAGGTTGGTGCCCACTCATTTACAGCATGGTCCAGAGTTCTGAGTGTATGAAGTGTTCAGATAGCTATACTTGAAGAAAACTTTGGAAAACTCAGAGATTGAGCTTGGATTTAATGATGGAGAGAATTTTGGTAAGGGAATGGTAGATACTTTTGCTAAGACAGTAAAATATGGCCAAGAGAAAAAAAGGTGTGTCTAAAGACAAATTGTAAAACTGGTTTGGCAGAGTACAGTGTGTTATGTAGAAAAGCAATAGGAAATCAGGTCAGGTGAGTTCTGGGGATATTGACATGTGCTCTACAACTGTAACAAGATATCTAGGACTAGTAATCAATATAAAATGAGAACCAAAAGATTTTTAAGTAAGAGAGAAATACATCAGTGAATCAAAAATTATTGAACATCCACATATCTGTTGTGTCATGAGATTGTGAGAGCACTACATTAGCTGGGACCTGCTTCCATAGATATCATACTGTAAGAAAAAACTGACTGGGAAAATCAAGATGGCATAATAGGGTAAGAACACATATAAAGAGATGGAGAAACATTAGCAGGGTGAAACAGAGAGGGCACATTCCAAATAGGAGAGGACAGACTGACAGCAAAAGAGTACCTAGAGACTGAAGGACTCAGAAAAGCAGTGGAAATAATGGGGTGGTATTCGCAATGACTACGCAGTCCAGCAGCATTCAGCCAGCAGTGACCTGAACTGCACTGGCAGCCCGAACTCCACCAGCAACCAGGTGGGAAGGGGAGGTTAATCAAGAACTAAGGAGGTGAACCCAAAGAACTCCCTGTTCCGCTGCTTTGTTTGATTTGACCAGCAGCAGAAACAGAGCAGTAAATCCCAAATAGGTGATGCAAAAACAGGGTGGATTTCACAGCCCAAACCCCCACTAGAGCCTAATCAGGGGCCATCTTGTGTAGGGACACAATGGCTATGAGACAACACCATGTATACACTGAGCTAGGAGTGAACTCATTTCTGGCTCAGTGATTGCAACAACGTGGCATCTTACAAGTTCTACCTAAAATAGGTCCAAGTGACTCCCAGACCTAATGGCCAAAGAACTCCAGGAATGGTACATCAAGCACCATTTCATACAGTGTGGCAAAGGCTTTGACACAAAGTGAACTGCATGTGTGCTGAGATGGGAGCGAACTCCCCAAGCTCAGAGCATTGCACTGGTGCACAGGGAAAATAATTTCAACTTTGGCATCTTAACAACTCAGGATGGGTCCATGTGGTCCTTTGACTTAATGGTCAGCAGGTTCCGCCAAGATCAGCACCACTAACAACCTAGCTAGTTAGGATACCTGGTACTCCTTAATCCTGGGAACTACTGGAACTGGAAGTGGGAGAAACACTGTACAGACAACAACAGTACAACAACAGCATGGTGTCACAGGAGGTGGAGACTGGTGAGCCAGGATCTGGGGCTACAAAGACCATGGTGGAAGTCTAACATAAGAACACAGGCATGGAACTCGCTGAAGGGAGTGGCACAAGTAACTGCAAACAAAGAGCCATGTACCAACTGCAATTGTAGACCTGTGGGTGACACAGCTTAGAAACCTGCCCTAACGAGGAGAATCTGCTAACCAGAAGTACAATGACCAAGAGCAAAAGAAACAGAGGCACAATGATATTACTAAAGACTCCGCTGCAAAGGAGCAAACGCCTTTGACAACCTCAGAGTTAACTGGGG